GGGGGGGGGGGGGGGCCCCGTGTTTATTATTAGGGGGACGGGATTAAGGGGATGTGGTCTGCACCCAAACCTTGTTGACCTTGTTGACCTTGAACGGGGGGGGAGGGTTGATTAATCCGGTGTCGACATTACAGAAACTTGGTGCTGCCTGCGATGACCGGGTGCTCCAGAGAAAGCATGCCTGGGGACACGGTCCGTTGGTCATGAGGGTTCACCCTTGTGCACCTCCTTGTGCTCTCGCCTCAGAGTCGCCTCTGGCCAAAGGCGTGTAGATTCCGTCCGTCCTCCTGGCCTCTAACGTCCTTGTCCCTCGCCCAGAGAATGGGCCCAGATGTCATGCTTATAGCTTATAAACCACAGGCTGACGTTCAGAATGTAGCGTCTTGATTGTTCTAATCCCCCGTATGAAGAGGTTGTTCCGTTCAAATGGGGTGGTATATTAACCAATCAAGAGTCTACATGAAACTCGTTGTGCTCGCACAGAACTTATCTGTTGCATCATCAGACACAAGCAGTGACCGAAGACTTCTGCGATGGCTTCTTTGCCATGTTTGTGAAAAAGACCAAACAAAAAAACATTGAACAGACATTGAAAAGACATTAAAAGACTGTGCCACAAAGAGGTCAGTCCCCTGTAGTGCGAACTCCCCTGCAGTGCGAACCGTTTGTTGCATGTTTGTGGGGTTGGATTTGGAGTCTAATGGTCTAACCTTAAAACATCATAGGAGCGAGTTGGAGGGTGAAGCTGAGGATGTGTCGTGTCACCTGAACAGTTGCTCTATTGGTAACTCTTCGCCCCATGTGGGTGCCCAAATCCGAAGGACCACTTTTTATAGCACCTCCCGATCACCAACTCTGATCCCCGTGCACCTCCCGATCTTCAGCGGTTCGATCACCGTCACTCTCCCAAAAAAGGAACGTCGTCGCTCGTCCTCCTTCGGTCCGAGGCTCAAGAAGTCTTCGAAGAGAACGATCCAACACTTGGCACGGTACACTTTCAAATCTGCGCAGCGGGCGTTCCCGGTGCCGGTCGGTTCCCGGGGGGTTCCCGGGGAGTTCCGGGTGCGGAGGAACGCTCCGAGGAGGCTGCCTACTAGGCCCTAATCAAATTGAAAAGAGTGTTCTATTTATTGTTTCTAAGATAGCTTCTTGTTACTACTAGTAAGGCCCTTGTTACTAGTAGCGATGCACTTGTTCCTAGTAGCTTCTTAATTTAGGTTGTTTTTTGTTTTGTTCTCAGAATATATTGGCAATAGCATGACATGCCAAAGAGAACTCCGACTTACGAGGACACATGAAGACTCCAGGGATTATCCAATGCAATCCTTCAATGACAAAACTCTTGGTTCTTTGATGTTCGATGGTCTTTTTAGCCTGCAGGTCGTCCAACTTGCACCACAATAATATGACCAAGTGGTGGATCAGGGAGATCGAAGTCCATGTCCGGCGGACTAACACTTGCCGCTGTGTCGGTATTGCCTTTCCATTGCCCATGTGGCTCTATCTAGTGGACGACTTCATGAACGTGGCCTCAACTCAGCTAACCAAATCTTAATTTAATGTTGATTCTTGATCAATAATTCCCCCATCTGGATTGGAAAAAAAACACATCATGCAAGAGTCTACATTAATTTAAGTAGGACATGGATCAGTCTTCAACGTCCAAGGTGTACCGATGACCCTGCTTCCCTTCACAAGCGCTTCACTTCACGCCCGCGTGACTTTTCGATCACCGCTGCACTGCACACGCCGAATAATGTCTCAGTATGTACAAACCCCAGGGCTCCAACTACCTGAGAAGGTGGTTAAGGTGGGTTTTAAGGTGGGTTTGGAGGGTCTAACCATCTTCTGAGGATATGGTTGGAGCCCTGGGGAAAATGATTTGTCCAGTTTCGTCCAGGTTCTTGCATTAACTTTAGTCGACAGCATCTCACCCTGGGGGAACTCCGTTGTTCAGACCACAAGCGAGGCCTCCGCCACCCTGAAACTGGAGGGTGCGGAACATAGACCTCAATTGGGCCAGGGGGTCTTCCTAAATACAATACTCACCCAAATGGATCTGTAAAAAAATGCATTGTGAATCTCTGAAGGCAGATCAACCGCTGCCGTTTCCAGTTCAGGCTTTGTGGGAAGACGCTTAGCCAAACAAGGTTACGTGGGAGTGTGGCGAGTACTCCGCAAAGCTCTTTTCGACCTTTTGTTCGCAGAGGTCAAAACTGGATTGATTTGCTGCTTGTTTTCTGCAAGTGCGCGCTCCGTGTCTCAATCTGCTTCGTTTGGGATCCAGTTGGTCCCTTCGGGGTCGCTCTCTGCCCCTGGACGCACCGGACGCGTCACGAACCGCGCGTTCTGCGGCGAGTGCGAGTGGACGAGGACTCTGAAGGCGACGGCTCCTGAGAAGTGTCCAACGAGTGGTGGCAGGTGTTTGCTGTTTTGGGAGACGGCTTTTGTTTCGTCGCATCAAGAGGAGAACATGCTCATTCTTCGATAAGAATCTTGTTCCAGTGGGTTTTGCTGCTTAGCAAGTAGATGTTAGGCCCTAGCCCAAGGCCCTAAGTGATCCTAAGTGCCTTTGAACCATTTTGAGGACTCGACCTCCATGGCAAAAGGAGAAGTTCCACGAACCGACCTCGCCCCATGACCTCGCTCCTCACCGGGGGACCGTGGCCGCTTCGGCCTCGATAGCGAGAGAGGGATCGGAGTCGAAACATGTTCTGAACATTCTGATTTTTGAGATGGGGCTTTCCGTCCTATGGATATATCGACAGACCCTCTATTCAAGGGTGATTGGAGATACTGTTGTTTTTGTGTTCTCTTGCTTGGCTTTCTGCCTCGGTTCGGCTCTTGCTTATCCCGACTCAACCACTTGTCGCTTTGAGCTTCAGCCTGGCCTGGGCGGCGGTTTTCGGTGTTCCTTCACCTGGCGAACTTGGTGAGGAGCATGAAAGGTGATGTACAGGACTCGGTGGAGAAACAAACATCGCCTGTGCAAACATGGCCTCTGCTGCTTGCATGGAACCTGTGAGTTTGGAGGAGCCACCCCGACAAAAACGAGCGGCACCCCCACTGTAGTGGGATCGCAAGTTCTGCTTCTGAGCGGATGTTGACTTTGGATCGCGAACAGCCATTGTTCACTTTGAAACCACAAAGACCCGCCCTGTGAGCTTAAGAAGTCCTGGACCCCTCAAAAACCCTGTACACTCTCAGTGACTCCATCTTCGCACTGGGATTTCACCTGCTTGTCTTTATGTGAAGGAGATCCCTCCAACCTTTAGGATTTCACCCTTTCGGAGATCAATTGTTGTTGTTGTCGTCGTTGGTTTTTCGTGGCGGCACCAGTAACAAAGTCAATTACATCACCCTTTTCGGTTTTGTAGGGTCCGCCCCGTTCGCTCTCAGGATCAGCCTGTTCACAAATCTTCTGGTAGCCCTCGAAGTAGCCTCGGCACAACATGTCAACAAACAAATACCCAGGAACCTGAAACCTCCACAGAAGTTCATCCCTTATGCAGATGTTACCAACCTTGATCACCTCTTTTTACCTCGAAACAATCATCCAGAAGAGATAAAACATCTCTGGAATCACGACATCCTGCAAACAACGAACTGCTTGGAGGCCTTAACAGCTACACTAACGTTTGGTCCTCTGTACTTCACTCTGTGGACATTACCTCCTCCAGTTGCTGAAATTCCTTCAAAACTATATAGTTCACAACACCGTATACAACAGGTCACCTTTGACATAGACCAAATCTATTCGACTCCAATCGGTCGATTCATCCGCACACCTTCAAACAAGATCTGGGCAGCTAGTGCGGCGGCTAGACAGTCACAGTCTCAAATGTTGTAACACATCTGCCTAGTTCCCTTATAGTGAAACAAGCAAACCCAACCATTCTGATTGGCAACATGATTTCAACTTGCAGTACGCTATATAGCCCTTGTGCAACTGTAGGATGCAAACGCTGTAAAGATAGGGGTGGGTTGCCCTTTTTCAATTTCCTTGGTCCTTTTCCATTTATACAACTACATGGAAATGATTGTGGTTTCTAAGCCACTCCCACATCCTGACAACACTGAAACCCGTCTACCGTGCCCTAAGCGGAACAACAAATGGAATGCAACTGCCATAACGTACAATCACCACATGCTGTACAAGTCCCGGAACATATTTGCTTTACATCAGTTGGCAAGCGGCTCATATGCTATTTACAAAAGGTCACTCAACCGCACTCAACGACCACTTCCTGGATGAAAATGGGCATACTTACCCGAAGTATCGACAACTCCAACAACCCGCGAAACCCTACTATGGTATTCGCATGTATTCAAAACCTTTCTGGAACCCACCGTCGGATCCTCCCGCTGCTTAGACGCTGACCAACTGTGTAGTATGGCCTCAGCGTGATGGCCCAAAAATACGCAAAGCATTCCGAAGACATCGGAGCCCTTTGGATTGAAAAACACGTTGTTTTCCATCAAAACTTTTTCCCCACCTGGCAGGTGAGGGCTGTTAGATTCTGTCAGAGCTGTCCTTTTATCCTCCTCCTTGGGAGCGCTGGCCCTCAAATCTAGCCGGCTGGCAGTGGGCACCACGGGACTTCACACGAGCGCCAGCTCGCCGTGAACCGGACCTCAACCGCGAGCGCTAGATCAAAGTGGGCACCACCGGACCTCAACCGGGAGCGTTACTTCGTGTGCACCTTTGTTGGCTAACTTATAGTCATGCTCTATTCAATTTTCAGTTATGACATCAAAAATCTTCAAGGAAATCTACTTGTGTTGAGCGAAATCCACCAATATTTTGTATTTATTTATGGCTAATATCTATCTGATATGTTCCATTTTGTGGGCACAGCCATTCAAACACATTTTGGGGGCGCCGCAAAAGATTGCATGTTCTGCTTTCGTTGAATCGTGTGTTTTCTGTAAAATGATCATTGATTTGATCAAACAATCAGTTGTCAGTGTGACTCTCTTCATTCCTGGATCACCATGTACCTGATGTATCTGGATCAGCCTCATTTCCGCCAACCCCCACAGAATCCTCCGGGGCCCCTGGTCACCAATGAATCGGCCTCATTTCGTCCCACCTCCACAAAGGGCAAAATATACATCCATGCACTGAGTTTGGTACCACTGAATACCGATATTAAAACAACTTCTATTTCCACCAAGGACTGATACTTATATCTCCTATATATATAGATTCTTTTTTGTGTTTCAATGATAGATGGATTCGGACATGTTTTCCTGTGTTGTGCAAAATATTGTTTGGACGATGTCTCAGCTTGGCTCGATTGTATCTTTTTCGGCGTGAATTTTAAAAAAGAAGACGTTTACTTCAAAAACATGTTTTTGCTATTAAGATCCAGAAAACACATGTATTTCTGTTTTACCTGCTTCCTGTAAAAAGATGGGCCCCATTTAATTACTTAGCTTCTACTTATTTCAAGCTGTTTCTAGCTAATTTCTACTTATGTTATAAGTTCCATAAGCTCACTTGATGAACCTCAGCTAGCCTCAAGTACCAAGTATTCACGAAGTAGTTTCAGTGGGGATGATACGCAAGTCAACTGCGATCACTCGATCGCAGTGGGCACTGCCGGGGCTCAACCGCGAGCGCTAGATCGCACTGGGCTCCGCCGGACCTGAACTACGAGCGCCAGATCTGGACCTCAACAGCGAGCACTGTATGTATTGCAGTGAGCCTCAACCGCGAGCGCTAGACCGCAGTGGGCAGCACTACAAACGGGACAGGTAGATCACAGTGGGCACCGCCGTGCCTAACCACGAGGGCAAGATCGCAATGGGCACCACCGGCCCTGAACCAGATTGAAACGAGTGCCAGAATGAATGTCGCAAGTATATATGGGATAGAATGCCAGAATACATGCCCGATATAAGAATGCCGGAATGTATGCCGGTATGCCAGAGTTGCTGTCAGCCAGAGAGAATGTCAGAATAGATGTCAACAGATTGTCAGCAAATATGCTGCATATAATGCCAGAGTTTATGCAAGAATGAGTGCCAGAAAAAAGATCAGAATATATCCGTGCAAGAATATGCCAAAGGGAATGTCTGAAGATATCCCAAAAAGAAATGCGGAATGTGCAACCCCACCCACCCGCCCACCCACCCACCCCAAAAAAGGTATCAAACCTCGAAAAAATGAGTGGTCAGGAGGAGGGAGTCGAGAACTTCAAACAACCAAAGCAAATGAAACCTAGCAAAAGGTTGCTTGCTTCCTGCCACGTCCAAATATATACACATGTTTCGTTTCCCAAGCCTTTTTGCTTATGATCTCTTGCAGCAACTCTCTGAACTAATCTAAGATCAATAATGCTTCTTCCAAAGCGACCTTGGAACTTTCCAAGCATTATTCCTATCTATTCCTTTTGATTCCATTTAAACACTATACCTTGGCCAAAGAACCATTGTTGGTTCCTTTTGCTTCCGCCTCATTCCGTTTGAAGGAGTTGCCTGTCATTCTTTCGATATCCTGGACACTCTTTCTCAAAGCGAAATCTGGACTGAAGAGATCTCTTTGATTGTCCTCCTTTTGTAGGTGCTTGCAAGTGTCCTGCTGTTGTCCTCTGGCCGGGCTGGCCAACTCTATGTCCTCCACTTGGCCTCTTCTTGTCCTCCTGGTGCTTGCAGTTGTCCTGCTGTTGACCTCTGGCCACGTTGGCCAACCCTGTGTCCTCTCCTTGTCCTCCGCTTGTTCCCCAAACAGTTTACTGTTGGTGTTATCTTTTCTAGGAATCTAGACGACGGATGGCCCGGGAGCGAGGAAGGAAAGGCTATGTAGAAGTAAGAGAAGTGTCTAATAAATACATCTGAAAGTGTTATCATGTTTTAAAGTGGCATTTAACATGTATGCTACAAGATGCTACAAGCATACATGCGGGGTCGGGGATGAAGACACGGTTGAGAATTTCTTCTGGACTTGCTGCCGCCAGAAAATGACGTTTAGGAGTGGTCGATGACTATGTTGTGTACTGTAATTTGTGGTTTGGAATTATATAGATTGGGTAGGGGCATGGCGGGTGAAATCATTGCCTCGGGAGAGGGTGCATAAGGCCATAGTTGGAGAGAAGGATAGACCGTTCAGAAGCTGGGAACCAGGACACGTCAAAAGATGAAGACGGGGTGGAGGATGGCTTTATAGAGAAGGACTTCTATTGCTGCCATCAGAAAGTGACGTTTAACACTAACCGATAAATGTTTGGTGACTAATGTTTGAGGAACTTTGGTGTAAAGTTAGACTGAATAAGTATAAAACAAACACAAACTTGAAGCAAACATATCCTGAAATCGACGGCAGGGCATCAGCCCTTAAATCCGGCGATGCCGCGCTGTTGCGGAACAAGTCTAGCTTGCTACCCCAGGTGCGTTAATTTTGCATCTGACCTAAAAAACGGTGCTCCCGCCGCCCGCCTGCATTTCGAGCTGTTTTTGGATCTTGAGTGACTCAAACATTTGCAAAACGAGAAGCGCATCAAAATCCTTGAGTTGGGTGGGGGAGAGACTCTTTTCCGCCACAAAGCAGGGTGGACAACATCGCTAAACACAGTGGAAAGGGCCCTGTAGCCTACGGTGTTTTTCCAATTTCAATTCAATACAATGTGTTGCAATGCGGCAAAAAACGCGTAAATACCGGCGTCTTTGAAGGTGCGTGTGCGCAAAACACTGAAAATGTTCTGATTGTTTGGCAGCATGATCAAACAACCTCGTATATTAATACACGTAAATACCACATTTTTTGAGCACTTGATAGCTTAAACCCATCGGTAGTTGCACTGTTTGTTGCTGCAAATGCGCACAAAACTGCACAAAGAGGGTGCTTTTGAAGCACCTTTGAAGCCTAGAAGCTGCGCGCGCGCTGACTAGGGTCCACTCTCTCCACCTGCTTCTTCCCTCTTTCACCCCAGCTGCCCAGACCCATCAAACCAAATCCCAGCAGCAGCCGCAGGCGAGCACAGGTGGCCCTCACCACCTGTGAGGCCTTTGTGTACTGCACGAAGCTCATAGCCTTGGCTGACTGGGCTTCGGACGACTAATAGGCTGGCTGCGCATAGCTGGATTCAATCAAGTCTCTATGCGCGAGGGAGCAACACTTTCCGCATGGCTTATTTGTGCCATCAGCTTGGAGATCGGAGGTCGGATGCTTGCGACGTGCCAGCGGTTGATGGGGTCTGACGATGAACCTCTGATTCCATTTGTGCAACGCAAGAGGCTCCCACACACAATCGATCCGATCGTGACACGATGGCGGTGATCGTGACGGACTGAACTGGTCACCCTTTGGAGCCCAGTACTGAGTCCGAAACTGAAGAGGGATCCTCGTGATCCGATTCTGATCGAGTTACTTGCAAACGGGGAGAGATGTTTGTCGTTTTTGTTTCTTTTTGTAGAGGTTGAGGTGCCCCCAGATTGATCAGGACTGCTGAAGAACAAGTTTGCATGCCAATGACTTCTGGATGTATTTAGGATGTCAATGAGGCTGGGGTCAGTAGCCAAAGCAACTGGAGTTGTTCAAAGCATCGATTAACTTTCTTCCTTCAGCATATGGATGAAAGCGGATTGACAATCTTTCAAAGTTCCCTCACCTCCAATCGGATTGGGACACTAAGCCTAGGCAAAGTCAGCCCATGGAGACACGTAGACACGTCTGAGCTTCGTGCAGGCCACAAATGGTGCTCAATCTGGTGACTGTCCCCTGGCCAGGCACGTCCGGCGGCTTGGTCCCTTTGCGTCCGAAGCACACGGAGCAAGGCTAAACTGGTCTGGTGTCCACCTCATCTATCAAGGGCTACCCAAGCAATACAGTAGGAAGTGGCAGTGGCACATCTGTCCAACCCCCGGCCAAATGATGCCATAATTGCACAAAGACTAGTCTTACTTGGCTTGTAAGTCGGAAGTTCTGACCATTCTCAGGTCGGGCAAAGGCAGGTTTTGTCAGCACTCTCAAGCCGTCGTTGGAGCGGCAGCCCCGACCTGGAAACACCGCTGAAACACTTTACCTGCTCGGTGAAAATCATATTTTGGGGCTCAAAAAGCAAAGCCCTAGGATTACTTAAAGTCAGTTCTGTTCCTAGAATTGACCCATGGATACCCATGCATTAAGTGTTTGAATTTTTTGAACATGCATAACACTATACCCTCTTTCAAAAAGCAAGTTGAGGAAGCAGCCGAAGCGAGTAGGTGAGCCATGGTGAGCCTTATCACTTATCACGCACCTTTGTGGCATTGACGCAGCTCCTGCCTTCTCCTTCGTTCCTTACCTACTTGCTTCCTTGCTTCCTTCCATGCCTCTGTCCTGCCGTCCTGTAGACTGATGAGCATCTTCTCAGCTACTGACCTCATCCGCCGAAGTCTGGCCGATCCAGGAAAGGACCAGGAAGGCCGATGCCTGAGCACTGTCTTTGGATCCTGCTTGGCCGCTGAATACAGATCGGCAAGATCGGGACGCTTGCCAGGTCCTCGGCCTCCCCAATGAATGAAGGCGCCAGGTTCTCGGCCGCAGCCGAGAATCTGGCGCCGTCTTGGACGAAGAGATTCGCGGAACGTCCACTGTCACTGCCGCCTCCACAGACTTCCGGAGACGCGGAATGCATTCGCGGATGATGCCAGCTCTGAAAAACGGGTTGAAGACAAGCGCGGGCTCATCACATCGTCTCATGACATCGACATCCTGATCTCCTTGACGGCATAATGAGCTTTTCATTCCGCTCTCAGGCAAATCGACCGAGCTTCCCATTGCTCTTGAGTGATAACGGTTGGGTCCGATGTCCCCAGCCGTAAGGAGTCTCAAGACAGGATCCACCTCGGGGTTTATCCAAGAAAGAAGACGTTGGGCCTATACCTGGTCCTTCCTCAATTTTAAATTGAACTCCAACTGGGCCCCCACCTCCAAAAAGATCTGCTATACTGCCTGAGTGTCACAAATGTTCACCGCTTTTGCTTGGAACGTGCCACATCACCCTCCATCCTCTTTGCACCAACCTCCTCCCAGCCTATACCGACCCCTCACGAAGACCCTATATAACCGCACCATGGAACATCAGGAAGTCCATCAGCCAAGCCCAGCGGTTCCGAAACCTGCTCCGGCGTGCTCCGGGGCGGCATGAAACACCGGGGAAATGACCATGTCATGCCGCCATGTCAGTTGCCTCTGGTCAGTCGCCTGTGGTCATGCACTCACCCCAAACACCTTCGATTAGGCCCCAGGGATGGCTTGGAGGGGCTGTCGTTCATTTTTGTTCATACCTGCATACCGGCGACCACCAAGAACACCAACAAATGCTGCTAAGCCAAAGGTGGCTCGGAGAGCAAGAAAAGGAGAGGCTATAAATCTCAACTCTATAGAGTGATGGCTATATAGACTCATGTGGATCTTCCCAGCATTGCCAATGTCCTTTTTCTGGGACCAGATGCAACCCTATGACGTGCAGGCTGTATTTGCAGCTTTCCGAGAATCCGAGCATTCGGTTGGAATCTATCTGTGTCCCCAAGCAGCCAGAATTTCTCCGTGAAGGAATGAACCATTCATTCCAGCAGCATATTTAGAACTCGACATGAACTCACGCACTTTGTTATAACACGTTTGAACTCATCGGCTTTCCGCTCCAGGTGAGGCGTGAACCTCGGGAACCGCGTCCCGTGCTGCCCGAGCTGCTCCAAGTTCGCCGTGCAGAGGAGCTGTCCGATCACCCACTCGGCGGAGTCGTCTGCGGCCTGGTCGTCGGTGTCAGGTGGGGTCGCAGGGCTGGGGACCCAGGTGGGGTCCGTTCTCTGTTTTGAAAAATGTGGAGGATGAGGAATATGAGGACCAGGAAGGTCCTGGTCATTGAAAACGATGACTTCAAAATCCCCAATCCTTGAACGGCAATGGATCATTGGTTGAAGGTTCGGCGAGGTCCAGTGAGTCCATGAGTCCTAAGGTCCAGTCAGAAACCTGGACCACTCCATCCTGCCGGAATGAAAGCTTTTTAATGGGCTTTTGTGGAGAGCATGTCCCAATGGACTCAAGCACTGCTTCCGGGCAGAAGTTGGTTTGTACATCGCCCTCATAACAAACTGGGTGGAACTTGTCACCTGAAGTTTGCGAACAGTAAAACACTACATGACAGAAAGTTGCCAAAGTTTGCTGAAGTTTGTCAAATGTCCGGCAGATTGATGCTGTTCCCTCTCTCCCTCTCTCTCTCCCTCTTTCCCAAGAGCTTTCATGTCTCAACATCTCTGGAAGATGATGGAAGCACCTTGTTGGCACCTGTCGGCCATGAAACAAATCCTAAACAAAGACAGGTCAGTGCAAAGCCTTTAGTCAATCAGGCTTCACAGGATTTCCTATAGCTACTATATCATAGTAATATAGGTGATCCCAAGCTCACACATGAGCCAACCTGATTCGCTCGGAGCAACCCTGCGACCTCGCGGTTGAGGATGTGCTCTGGCATGTAGTGCTGCACCTGCCCCCAGTTTACCCAATCGGGGAGGTATCCAACGCTTCGTCAAAAAGAGAAACATGTCACATCATGTCACATCTTCATTTCACTCTCAGGGGAATGACCCGCAAATCCAGTTTCTTTCGGTGCTTTTCCAAATGGATCCCCACATCTCCCCACATCTCGACGCGTTCGGCCGTTTCGAGACGTCATGGGGTCTCATACTCTACGTCCGTTCACATCTAGCCACTTGGAACCCAAATTTGCACCCACGGAACGGTGACCTTTGGCATGACGAGAAGCGCGGGCAGAACAAAAACAAACTATAATGAATCTGGCATCTTGATTTTTCTCGTGCAATCTCCACATCTGTGTTGGTCATCATCTCCTTAGAGCCTTTAGGTGCTTCTTCAGGGAACTTACTTTCTAGCTCCTTTGGGTCTGAACAGAATAGCATGGAACAACAACAAACTTATTTTTACCGCTCATGACTCATGTGAGGTCGGTCCAAAATTCCCTACATCTGGGAGCGGTCATTTAGGACAGGGCATCGGGCTTGGGTTTTCCTCATCGGTTTCCAATGTTTGGTGAATTTCACTAACATACCGTATGTTTCCAAGCAAAAGTATAGTATAGTCATGGACATGGTGAAGCAACGCACAGCAGAGCATACAACTTTTCACAAGTTCAAGGACCTCACATATGCAGCTGCTAGTTCCTCTCTCTTGGGCATGTCATTTGAACCCTAAAATCTGCTCTCGAGTGGGCGTGTCCTTGATCGGATGTCTGGAAGTCACTCCGCGGCATCGGTTAGGGCATCGGTTAGGCATCGGTCTATACACGCTGGTGAAAAACACAAAACTTGCCAGTAGTAGTAGTCGTCGTCGTAGTGGTAGTGGTAGTGGTAGTGGTAGTGGTAGTGGTAGTAGTAGTGGTAGTAGTAGTCGTCGTCGTCGTCCTCGTAGTGGTAGTGGTAGTGGTCGTAGTGGTAGTAGTGGTAGTAGTAGTGGTAGTGGTAGTGGTAGTGGTAGTGGTAGTCGTCGTCATCGTCGTCGGTAGTGGTAGTGGTAGTAGTGGTAGTAAGTAGTAGGCAGAAGGTAGTAGGTAGTAGGTGGTAGTAGTAGTAATAGGAGTAGGAGGTAGTAGTAGTAGTAGTAGTAGTAGTAGTAGTAGTAGTAGTAGTAGTCGTAATAGTAGTAGTAGTAGTAGTAGACTAGTACAGTACTAGTACTAGTCGTACTAGTAATACTAGTAGTACTAGTAGTACTAGTGATAGTACTAGTGGTAGTAGTAGTAGTAGTCGTCGTCGTGGTGGTGGTGGTTTTAGTAGTAGGTAGCAGAGGTAGCACGTAGTAGGTAGTAGGTCGTAGGTAGTACGTCGTAGGTAGTAGGTAGTATAGGTAGTAGGTAGTAAGTAGTAAGTAGTAAGTAGTAGGTAGCAAGTAGTAAGTAGTAGGTAGTAGTAGGTAGTAGTAGGTAGCAGTAGGTAGCAGTAGGTAGCAATAGGTAGCAGTAGGTAGCAGTAGGTAGTAGTAGGTAGTAGTAGGTGTAGTAGTAGTCGTCGTCGTAGTAGTAGTAGTAATAGTAGTAGTAGTAGTAGGAGTAGTAGTAGTCGTAGTAGCAGTAGTAGTAGTAGTGGTGGTAGTAGTAGTAGTAGTGGGAGCAGTAGTAGTAGTAGAGTAGTAGTAGTGGTAGTAGTAGTAGTAGGAGCAGTAGTAGCAGTAGTAGTAGGTAGTAGTAGTAGTAGTAGTAGTAGTAGTAGTAGTAGTAGTAGTAGTAGTAGTAGTAGTAGTAGAGTAGTAGTATGTACGTACGTATGTACTTATGTATGATACAAAGGCATCGGTCTTGGGTTTTCCTCATCGGTTTTCAATGTATGCTCAATGTATGACCTACCGATGTAAAGCTTTTGGTTCCAAGATTTTTGGACGGATCTCATGTGTGTAACCCAACCAGCACAGTTTTGCATTGACCATTGAAGGGGGTATATACCGTAATTATATTTCTATCGTCACTCTCCGACACCTCTCCACCATATGTAGAAACCCCGCCTCAGAGAAGGGGTACAGCAGCAAGCGGCTGGTCGCGCGGGCCAAGAGTAGCACGCCCAACGCCTGGCGACGAACTGAACGCCTTCGGTGTACACGCGTTCCGCGGAAGTGGGGTCTTGGTGGGTCAAGGTCATGTATGACACGTCACATCCTTCTTACAACGAACCAGGCCGCAGTGGGAGATGCTAAGGTATCTTGGTGGGTCAAGTATTACGGCTGGTCACTAGATGGTTGGGGCGAACTAGTTGGTGGCTCCCCTCTCCGACATACCTGGATCTTCAAACGGCACAAATAATGATTGCCGGAGGCATTTTTCAGTGAACAAAGACCGTAATCAAACAAACCTGCCGTTTTAGGGGTTGCAAACATGTGCTCAAAATCCATGGACGGGGAAAGACGCTGTTCGGACACCTAAAGACCCGGTTTGGAAGCCCAAAAACGTTGTGTCTTTTGGGTTTCTGCCAGTTTCTGCCTGGTCACAAGAAAAAATGCCGTCTTTGGGAATAGACGCCGTAATGGTATTCATCTTGAAGAGCAATTATTATCAATCATGTGTGCTGTTTCCAAGATCCGGCATATGTATGACAAAGTCGATTTTGAAGTCTCCCTGCTCTGTAAACCACATGAACCGGCATTACCCAAAAGCATGGTTTGTAGACAACCCTGACATCCCCTGACTATGTCTTCCAATAACCACCCTATGGTGCTGGAACAGTTCTCTCTCAATTGTCAGGGTCAGTGCATGGTCTGCTTCATTGTGCCCAAGTCCTCCCAGAAGCATCTTCTATGAGCTATAAGTCCATCCACGCCCATTTGATACTAGCTCCACAAAGCACCTGCCTTCCAAAAGGGTTGCACCTGAGCTGAGAGAAGAACGCCCGTCTGCCACGGTGATCTCAACGGACGCACCGTCTGCCAATGGCCAAAATGTTTGGGCACCCCAACCATGTTCAACTGGCTACTCCCCCCCAAAAAAAAGAATTGAAGCATGAACAGGGGGGTAGCCAGTTGAACATGGTTAGTGTAGCCATTTTATATCTGAACCAAAATTGGAGATGAACGACGCAACGAACAGGACCAGCTCGAATCGGGACGCTGGTGATTCTCCCCAGCTGCGACGGGAGGTGATGGTTTTCACACCGCGGGTGGTGGCTGTTGACGGAGAAAACCGGCTCCAAGGGCTTCGTCCCGAGTGCCACCCGGGACCAGTACTGGGGGTGGGGGGTGTCGTCGGAACTGGTTGGCCGGTCTGACTGGTGTGCCGGTGCATGTTCGTTGGAACTCCCGTGCGACATATTGCGACGGAAACGGCGGATCGAAATCAAGAAGTATCAAGAATTATCTTGACAGTACTTTTGGAAAAGGCAGCTTTTCCCGTTGGAAGACACCAATTCTGGACGTGTTGTTTCCGCCCGGGAGTCCGCACCCCAAAGGCGACGAGTTGAAAGCCCGGGTTGAAGAGGACCTGGACCAGGGCCAGGTGCAGCGATGGGATGGGGTGGAGGCCATCCGTGAACATGAAGCATATTGCTCAAACATGGACACATAGGCAGCCACTGAGGAACTGGGAGATCTCTGGTGCGCATTGAAAAGCATGCAAATGATCAAATGTTGTGCTGGGCAAACCGGATGTGGACTTTATATTTCTCAAGTCTCATGTGTCTAGATGTCTTGCTCAATTGAAATGACTGGTTTCCTGGCATTGTTGCTTGTTTCAATGTGAGGATTACCTGTTTTCCTCCCAAATGTGCCTCTTTCATGTTGGCCCAGTCAACCGTGTCTGCACTACCAACCACATGCAATTGCTCCGTCCTTAACCCTCAGTTTCCACAAAGGTGTCCTAGCCCTGAGGGATCCACCCTGAAAACATACCACTACCCTCCTGTTGATGTATTTGTTACAAAAGCCGGCCACCTGTCAATGTCCGTGTCAACATGTCTCGAGCGCTTCGCTCTTGGAGGCTGTCCAGGCTATATATTCACATGCATGATTCATGATGAATGTTTCCAAGTGTCCACTGTCCAGTGGCAGCCGAGATTCATTCCACATTTCGGAGACATGACACGGTGTCCACGCATGTCCACGCATCACGCATCACCGGTTTTCCGAAAACCGTTTTCGCATCGGTTCTGGTTCAGGTGACCTGCACGACAGTCGCGCCTCGCAAAGGAAGCCGAGCACATGTGCCCAGCGCGAGACGTAGGGGCCGTTCATGGGCGGCTCCAACAAGGAGGCCACGGCCTGGCGGGGTGTGTTTACTGAAGCTGAAAAAAGAGGTCGGTGTGTTTACTATTGTTTACCCAATCCCTTGGGTGGACAAACCCCTCGGAGCATTGACAGACGCGCTTTTTAGGCGATGTCGGCAGAGTTCTTTTGGGCTATTCTCTACAGTGAACTCGAGCCCCTGCAGCAGATTTTTGTTCCTTATCCCAGACCGAGGGGGTAAGAAAGGAACAAAGGAGGTGCTCAAATCCATGACCAATGTCCATACTTGATCCTTTCTGAGAGGCTCAGTGTGGTAGATCTTGCAATGGTGACAATCTTCCAATTCCTTAAAACCTGGCACATGAAAAAGCAAGTATATAGACCTAATTAATCTATCCCAATCTGCTGGTATGGCTGTCCGTGGCTATCGGAGATTGGGAACGGGACCTCCAAACATGGACAGCTACCGATCACGGCATCCACGAGCAGCCACGAGCAGCCACCAGGCACGACCAGCCGCTCTCGAAGAATCCGTTCTTTTCTTGGTCGCAGTGACTGCAAAAGACCAACGAGGTCTTTGTTGCCTCATGCAACAATAAGCACATAATAAGCACCAGCACAAGGGAATACAAGGGAAGCAAATCCACAACAGTTACCTACAATAACAACCATCACACCAGACCCACATTCTATCCTATTTCCTCTCGATTCCTCCTCCGCTTCGCGATCGCAAAAAAACGGATTGTTGGCCTCAAGCAGTGCACAGGCTACCTGGCCACGTGGAAGTAGCTGGAGGCTGGAAGTGGGGCAAGGGATTAGCTAATCACTTGAAATGCACTGCCACCCTCTGAGCAGGTGTTGTGGATACTTTAGGTGGCTTTGCAGGGTCCAACTGCCTTCTCAAAAGGTGGCGGCGTATACTTCGAGAATGTTAATTGACCAACTCTGCCACCAGCTTCCCTTGACTTGGTGTTCTCAAGTGGCGGAGTTTGCAATTGTTCTCAAGTAGGGACTACACTGATGACAATCCACCCCACGAGGGAGAAACCACAATTAAGGTTCACATGGCAAAAATGATTCCCCACAACCCAGGGTCGGCTGCATCAACACACTTTTATGTTAAGCAGCTTGATGAAACCAATGAAGCCGAACGAAAAAAGGAAAACTAAACAAAAACTCAAAGCACCACGACCACATCCGAAAAGAAGTACAAACAGGGATTCTAGAAGTCAGGAATTGAAATAGCTTGTTTGTTTTTGCAGCCGAAAAAGGCCCGTCATGCATGCTATATGCACACTACGTGAATACGTGGAGTGCTTGGGATGTGTTTTTGTGTTCTTTTTCGGAGAGGTGGCGTATGGGTCATGTGTCACCGCCCTCCTGGCCTGAATGAGTTCAAAAAGGGGTTCCAAGAACATGGAGACTGGCAGCCAGTACCAGCACCTCAAATGCACACAAGAGTGTCCAATGATCTGCATGGGGCCGGACCCGGCCCTTTTGGTCGGTTCATAACTCATGCGGAAATTCCATCGAAAACCTGTCCATCCACCGTTTAGGAATCGCTTGGATCACCCCAAAAAGGAACATCTTTTACAGCCCCGCAATGACTTGAACCGCTGAGATTCCCGGCTGCCACTGGTGGCAAGGATGCCATTGGGCGCTCGTATGCCGCCTCAAAACGCTTCGACATAGTCAAGCGACACGTCACACGGGTGGTCCAATGATGGAAGCACTGAAAAGGATGTGAGAGTGATGGTACCCTTTCCCAAACTCACTCCGAACATCTATCAATATCTACAACAATGTATAGCAGATTGTCAAAAAAAATATACTGTAATACAGTATTTCTTTATCCACATAGGTTACTCTGACATCTTGACACGCACCCTGCTGCGGCAGAAACGCGCAAGAAGGAACATGCTTCATGTTCTGACATCTTGACACGCACCATGCTGCAGCCGAATTCCGGACCCAGCATCCTTGACTCTGAGACCTCGTGCCGGACCCAAGCCACTCCTGTCATGGTGCTCCAGTCGGGATCACGTCCTGGCACATCCAACGTTCGCACATCGTTTGGGAGGGAGCCATGGATCCTCCGGACCCTGCTCACATCTGCCCACGCTGGCTACAGCAGACCTGGCGACCTTTACCAGACCTCTTTGGAGGAGTTGTTCTTGGGGTCGTCGACCGGTGACGGACAGCGGAGCCTTCCGTCAAGTGCTGAAGATTTGGCGGAACTACGGACAGGAACTATGGAGTAGATGGCACCAATGTCTAAGTTTGGGTGATTTGTGATACTTCATGCACCCCCATCTGTCCAGGACATCTGGGGATCTGTGCCATCTCTGAAATGTACTGTATTTCTGAATGTGTATGCCCAAGCCTTCATTGCTTGCACATTGCTTGGTTCTGCCCTTGCAATTTCAAGGGTTGCTTGGTCCAGTTTGGTCGCTAAACCAAAAGGTCCAACCAAATGGAACGAGGGGGTTGTGGAGTTTTGGCCCGTTGGTGCGTCGTCAATATGGACATCATCCATCACAACATATCATCGTCCTCCACGTCGTCAATCCTGGGGGAAGTGCCACGCATGTTGGGGGAGGATCAGCACTCGCAAATTGACAAGTGTTCAGGCGGTGTGAATGAGCGGACAAGTTTGCGTTGGTGATGCTTTCTGCAGGGGGAACTTGAGCCATGGTTTGTAGGGTAAGGTTTTGACCCACAGCCATGTGAAGTGCATCCCTACCGACCCATCCTTCTGAGTGAACCTCTGGCATCCCGAGTATAGGCGCCTGCACCCTCGCGCTCAGCACATTGCTGTGCTGCAGCTACGTTCGAGTCCGTGTTGGTGCCCTTTTGTAACCTTTTTTGTGGGTTTCCTGAGTCTCTGGCCAGGGTTAAACTATACTTCTCATGACTTCTCTCATGACTTCTCAACACCTCCAAGAGCATTGACTTGCACCACCTACCGGACATGTCAGCAGTGCTTTTGGAGTCAATCACACCAATCATCGAATCTATAGCGATGGCGCCAGGGCGAAAAGAACTACCTGCTGACGGGTCATGTGTCTTGTGCCAAACAATTCCAGGGTCATCAGATTCGACATACCCGATCTAAAGTCACTTGCCCCAAGTTGTCCTGGATCGTTGGGATAGATGTGATGCCACCTGAGACGAGCTCAGCTTGGCCAAAGAACTGGTTCTGAAGTAGGCGGGGCTTACGGAGCCCATCGAAACCTAGAGGGCTTCCAATGGCTTCCCACTTTGTCAAGTGTTCTCATTCGACTGGTGCCTGGGAAGACAGCTGTTCATTGTAAGAACCCCTATATAACTAAGCTGCTCTTCCCCCAAAGCAATCCGGCCAAAACGGCGGCCAAAACGGTTTAGGCAAATTGGAGGTCAGAGGCCGGCGATTTACGATATATGTAAGTCCATGGTTCTGATGAATGTAGACGCCATTTGTTTGAAGGAGTTGACATGTTGGAGAGGAGTGTGGAATTTCCATCCGTGAGCAGGTGCCATATCGACATCCTGCACTCGCTGGATCAGCCACTTTGAAGAAGTCCATCTCACGTGGCCATTGTAGGACTCAAGTGTGAGGTGACATCACCCAGTGGGTCAACCCACCAGTTTCATCAGTTCTTTATATAGTAACACACCCATGTAACCGGTGCTTTAGCAAAACGGGGAGCTGGAAGCTTGAAAAGGCCGTGCAAAAAACGCGTGAAAGGGGCGCTTTTTAGAAAGGCCGAGGCTGTGAAGAACCGGAACCAGTTGAACGCCGTCCTTTGGACTTGGACGGGTAAGTGCCTGACAGGATTCTAAAGGGAAAGGGTTTTCACTTTGGAACCTTCAAGAACAATAGACCTCTGTCCTAGTTGAACCGCGGTCCTGACAGGTCCAAGAATCCCTTCAAACAAACACATGCCACAAATTGCGAACGTGTAATGCATTTCTGGAGTGCAGCGGTAAATGATTGTTTTGCAAAAAGTATGTGTTCGGCTGAGGCAAATGATTCAAAGAATTCTGGATTCTCCCTCCCCCCATGTTCAAAAACTCAACCTTTCCGTGGGCGGCGCCCTCCTTTCAGCTCTTCATTTGAGGGTCCCAGCCAGTGTTTGCTCATTCCGTTGCCCTTGAGCTCGCGAGCGCCATAGTAGTACTCCATGGCCCGATGCGAAAGCAAGCTGTAGATCCAGAAGAGGCCTCCGACGTCCGCTGGCGCCACAGATCTCCCGGTCCGCGGGTCCAAATGTCTTCCCGGTCCACGAGTCCACGCTAGCTGGATGGACCCAGTGGAGCTTCCAAGCCAACCTTGAGGGCTTGGAAGTGGAACGACCTGCTGGACCCAACACATGCTGTCGATAAGAGGGCCGATCCAGTTCTTGGGCTTTATGGGTCAAACTGGTTCATGCCGCTGCGTTTCGATTACTTGCGAAGCTCAAGTTGCGGCTGTAGATTGACTCCATCTACGCCCCCTTCGTTCTCCAGTGGAAGCTAGTCCTACACGTACTGGGCATGTGTAGCTGGTTGGTTCCTATATGATCAAATGGGCTCGGAAGTTGTAACTGTATTTACTGGATAACTAGTATATCATATATAGTATTATCATGTATTATCCACCACGAGCAGCTGGTTCAAATCATCGATGCAGGCCACAGAAACGATAATCCATTTCGGAATCCGAACATTTATTAATTCACGGCCCACGCACACGCCAAATAAGCATCGAAATAATCTATTTCGGAATAAAACGACAATTCCCTTCGGAATAATAAAGGGTAACATTCATATAAAAATATCAATTCAAAAGGAAGGGAATCTATATTTAAAAGTAAATTCCTAAAAAGATGAAGATTAAAACACATAATCAATTACTAAATTTAGAGGAATCCATATTTGCTTTGCAAAATAAACTCAAAATAAAGGTGAGGGTCAGGGTCTCGCTGAGAACCTCGCCTTTCCACCATTAAGCTTATCATGGACTCAATCCAAGAATTTCACCGCTAAAAGGGCCCAAAGGTGAGGGTTTCAGTGAAACCCTCGCCTTTGTGAGTGAGTGAGTGAGTGAGTGTTGATACCTGGACTTCAAAACTAAATCGATTATCTAATTTGCACTTCCTGTACTGATGGGCATGAGGGGCGCCTACGGGTACGGCATTTTCTTGTTTGACTTTGTGTCAGACGTTGTGCTCATCCCCCAGTGCCTATGGCACGCAAGAAGAAACACATTCTCCACCACGCGAAGTACTCAGGCCTCTGTTAGTTGTTCTAAACCATAGCAGTAATAGCACCATCAAACATCTACCTAACCTCACTGGCGGTGGGTCTTTTCATGTCTTTTCACTAGTCCTCACTTGCGGGAAATTTCTGATCCTCTACAAAAAACACACAAACATACAAAAACAACACCTCTATTTGGGCATGACACCTTATCTACTGCATCTTCTATTGTCTACTTCGTGAGCAGTTGGTATTTGAGGCTAGCTGAGCTGTGAGTTCTATAAATTCTATAAGTTCACCTCCTAACTTCCAAATTTGACAAACACCAGGGCCCTGCTTATGGTACGAAAAAGTACTTAACGTATGAACTTCTAGTACTTATGTTGAGGCTACTTAACCCTACTTTCTAGACAAATTCAGAATATTGTTACGGTTTATTTCTAGTTATTTCTGGCTAATTTTTTCTATTTATGTCCAGCAAAAGTTTACCTGTGTTTTAATCAGTTGTTAACTAATTTATGGGCATGTGCTATTCAGTTTAGCTAGAACATCAACAATTTTCACCATATTTTCTATTTGTTTTCAACAAAATCCCAATTTTTTGTAGTTATTATACGTTCCATTTTGTTGACACCACCATTCGAAAATATGTTTGACGCGAAAATGTGTTTAATCTGTTTTTGTTAAACCGATTGTTTTCAGAAAAATGATCATGGGCTTAATCAACAATCAATTTTCAGGGTGACTTTCCTCAGGCCCGGATCACCATGTATCTGATATATCTTGATATATCGGCCTCATTTCTACTACCCCCCAGGAAGGCCTGATACATCCAGATTCATTTGGATACATCCTCCGGGGCCCTCTGGTCCATGTATCTGGATGTATCGTCCTCCTTTCCGCCACCCCCCAGGAAGGCCCGATCTATCCAGATACATTTGGATACATCCGCGGGGCCCCTGGTCTCTGGTCACCGCTGGTCACCAATGAATCGGCCTCATTTCCTGCCACCCCCACCAAGGCCCAAATACATATTCATGCACTGAATTTGGAACAGCCAAATAATGACATATTTGAATAACTTCTATTTCCAGCAAGTACTGCTGCTTTGGTGGCTTTAATGATGGATGGACTCGGACATGTTTTCCCGTGTGTGCAAAAATATTGTTAGGACGATGTCTCAGCTTGGCTCGATTGTATCTTTTTCAGCGCATATTCCAAAAAACACGCTTGCTTCAATCTCTTTTTTCGGTTTTCAGAAAACATATGTTTCTTATAGCTGTTTCCTTTCAAATCGGTGATTCCCACTTACATACCTGTCAGGTGAGGGTTGTTGGGTTGTTAGGCTTTATGTCAGCTGGCGTCCTCCTCGTCCTCCGCGTTGTCCTCAACTGCGAGCCTCGGCCAATAGCGTTCCCCGCCGGACCTCAACTGCGAGGGTCGTGTGGCAGCCCCGCCGGACCGCAACCTGCGAGGGTCGCGTGGGTTCCCCGCCGGACCTCAACTGCAAGGGTCACGTGGCTGTCTTCCCCGCCGGACCTCAACCGCGAGGGCCGGGTGGCAGGGTTCCCCGCCGGACCTCAACGGCGAGCTTCGGCTGGTAGCGTTCCCCGCCGGACCTCAACCGCAACTCACGACCATGGCAACATGCTCCTCACTATGGCATGGAAACAAACCATCAAAATGTCATGGTGGGGATCACTTGAAGTAGATTATATAATTTCTACTTATTTCTAGCTATTTGTAGTCATTTTCGACTTATGTCTAGGATATTTTCTTATGATTTCTACTTATGTTAAAAGCTCCATAGGTTCCCTTGATGTACCTCAGCTAGTCACGTCTCAAGTACCAAGTCTACTTTCTTACCCCAAATCTTATTTCTTTGACAGTTTAAACATATCTTCTGCATCTTCGAAACTTCCTCGCCTGACCCGGGAGGTCGCTCGCTGCTAAGCCTCCCGCCTGCTTGGATGTCGTGGCGGGTGCGGAAGTCCCCGTGCATGACCGCATGGAGGCCAGCATCCAAGTGGCGCCACCAGAACCAGCCTCGATGCGTTCAGTTCGCGCAGCCAGAATTCATGCGATTTATTGAAACCAAATGTCAACGATTTGTGATATGTGCCAAATTATTACTGTATAGATCTCTTATATTAAATAAACTAAACGGGTAAACATATGTTGAACTTTGCAGCCATGGCTTTCCACGATGTAATGGGGTGCGCAAATAGAAACGCCGTCTATGGTGGCAAAGTCGTGGGTCCCCAAACAAGCCCAGACCTGACCCCGGTTGATGGTAAAGGACCATCTGTTGGTTGGCGGTTCCAAGCTAGAGGGTCAACTCGAACCATCAGGGTCGAGCGCTTCTTGGAGCCTGGAGTGTTTGGAGGCGACAGCCGACGCGTGTTTCACATGTCGAAACCCGAAGTGACGAGTCCGAAATCTGTCGAAACCCAATGACTTCATCACTCCAAGCTGACGCTTATTTTGGGGAAGTCTCCTGGTGAGGATCCCGAGATACCCTAAGTCTCATTCCAGGAAGCTCAAGGCGATGTTGAGACGCCAGCAGCCAAGCACATAGGAACAATAGCACCAGCTGAAGAAGAGGATCCTCAACTATGAAAGCAGGAAGCAAAAGCCAAAACTGTTGATCATACGATCATCCTGCAACTGCAAGCAGCCTAAATCAGTGTTCACCAGGGAGATTTCTGGAGTAAAACACCATCATCAAGAAATAGATGCTGCAGGTGGTTGATTTGGGTGTCCCAGCTCATCACAAAAGTTTGCAAGCATCCACCTTGCCGACCAGAAAAAGAAGCCGCCAATGGGACCAAACACCGTTTTCTGGTGTATCTTTTGTGTTGTTGATGTCATGTATTATATTTTAATATTAAGTCAAAAGAATGTGGGGACGAGACCAAAATCGGTAATATAGGGCCTGTGTCTGCAACACAAAATCCATCTTTCAGCCTCTATGAAGCCTTTCAGAACCACCCATCCCCATGCAGCGGTTTCTCGGTGTTGAAGCCTCTACAAACATCAACCCGCGCACTGCGTGGCGCCGCGACCTTCACCTGCAGCCTTCTCCCCACCAAACCTCTTGATGCTGCAACAATGGTTGCAAAACATCCTAAGCATTATGACCATCATGTATGTTCGATACGGTTGCACTCTTCCAACAGGTGGTGTTTGGGTCCTCTGTCTATGCTGTTCTTTTGACCCCCAGGAACACGACCCGTCACCTGTCAGCTCCAGGCAAAACATCAACCAAAACCGGTCCGTGGTACCCGTGTCTCCAGCTGAAGACTCTTGGGGTCTACCGCTTCATTCTTCGAAAGAGATACTGCGTTTAAGCAAAAAGACAGTCGTCCCCGTGTAAAGACTATACTTGACTATATTATACTACATTTGTCACCGAGAGTGCAATGGATTTCTGTTAAATAATGATTTTGGGGCGCCTTTTCTCCACTATACAACCTATTTCAAATACTTTAGCAATGTGCAATACATTACAATACCCACCCAGGAAAAAGGTCTGCAAATGGACCGGGGAAGGTAAATTACATTTTCCAACCCTGCCCAAAAATGTAAATTACAAACACACTCAACCTCCAATAAGCAACATATTGTTCAAGATATTTCAAGACATGATGTGTTTGCATGCTTGCCCAGAACACTGTATGCAAATAAACTGCGGTCAATCAATAATACAATATTTTCAAGATCAGCCAACAAATCATTGCAGCACAGCGTCCCCATGAGCCGCCGTTTCATGGGTGTGCAAACTCTGCTGTACGCAGTTGCGTTTGTCGTTGTGATTGCTTCTGTTGCTGCTTCTGGATGATGTGGATCGAGCAATGCTTGCTTGTTTTTGTGCAGTGTCAGTTTATTCATGGCTCTTGTGTTGTAAAAATGGTGCCCGTATATCACTCGTACTCTATATATAAGTGCATTTGCACACTACGTCTCCGATCGGGGTCTGGATTTAAATACCCACAATTTAATGTGTATATATGTATATATATATATTCAGATTTGTCATCACGTGTCGGGCCTGAAATCCTAAAGACCAATTGCCTGAGGAACCTAGTCAATCCCCCGGTCACGCCAAGTTGCAGCATGAGCACCGCCACCACTTCCGCCTTGAAGTTCTGCGAGAGCAAGGGGACCTGAGCATCCTCAGTCGGCGGAAGTTGCAAACGGCGGATGTCGGCAACTTGTTGTTTTAGACCGCGACGCGAAGCCGAGCCTTTTTTCAGGCTCCTCAATATGGATGTGTTTTTGTCACATGGAATCTGGGACAAATGCGTGAACCATTGGATTAGCTTGCCGAGTCCGGCGTTTTGCCCCTCCCTTGCGGACTCTTTTGTGCATCCACAAAATGTCGGAAGCTCTTGACCAGTCTCCAGTGTGGTAACATGTGGACACTAGGGGTTCTTACGGTAAGGGTTAAGGGTCGCGCGGTCGGGCCCGGCTATTTCGTTGCTATATTACATTACTCTCGAAATCTTCGAAGTGAATTTCGATTGCGCAAGCTCGCGAAATCTGCATGGTGGGGCGCATTGGGCGCTTGTCGCGACAGCGCGCTCTCGCTGTAGTGCCGAAAGCATTTTCGGACATGGTGGTCACTTTTCGTGGCAGGTGCAAGGGAATCCTTGTGTTTTGGTGGTCCAACTCGACTGTTCGCGACAGGTGCAAGGGCCCCGGATCGGAGTGAGTTAGAATTTAATTTGTGCAGGCGCAGCACTCTGGACATGGTGATCTTCGACGGTGCAGTGAATCGCGACTTTTCTACATGTGGCTCGTTTTCAGAAACCGCAGCAGGTGCGGTACTTTGTGGACCTTGAAGTGCACATTTCGTTGCAGGTGCAGTACTTTGTGGGCCTTGGTGTGCAGATGTGTCGTGGCAGGCGCAGTACTTTGTGATTGAGGCGCAAATTTCTTGGCAGGTGGAATATATAGTTTGTGGACCTTGAAATAGGGGTGTATTTTTTTACCGTAGTCGGGCCGGGAAGCTTGAATAGGTGGTATGATTCGAGGGTATGATTCGAGGGTATGATTCGGGGGTATGATTCGAGGGTATGATTCGCAGATGATTCGCAGCTTTGAAGTTATATTCTTGGATTAGCTGGACTTCCAGCAGTGGGCCCACTCTGCGCCGAGGCAGTAGGCAAGCAGCATCTGTTGGATGCTGGGCAGACTAGGCAAATGCACTCTTCCACCAAAGACTCCAGTGGCCCTCTGCAGGCCCCACCAAAACAACCAGGATGTGGGATGGGTGGGAGACTGTGTGGAGGTGCGTGATTCGGGTATGAATCGGGCATGAATCGGGTGTGATTCGCATGGCCATTAGATTCTGCAAAAGAAGGCGGTCCTTTGGCTCGTACCCCTGGGATGTGAGCCTTTGCTCTTCCCACAAGAAGACACAAACAATTTTGGCCAAATTGAGTGCCCATGGATCACACAATTGCAAGCGTCATGCACCATTGGCTCATGGACATCTACAAGGCACAAAGACCAACCAAAAACTTCACCTTAACACCTGGTTCTTACGTGTAACGTTTTGAGGGGTATGATTCGGGGGTATGATGAGGGGGTATGATTCGAGGTATGATTCGAGGGTATGAATCGCTCAAGTCGAACTTCCAACCACTACATCAGGAAGTACACGCCAAAAAAATACAAACCCATAGTGCAGATTTCGAGACCTGCATCACCTCAACCCCAATGGTCTCTAGACTTTCCTCTAGACCTCACACACACTGCTTTTGGCAGTATAATTTGAATTCAAATAAAAACAACAGACCAACAAACATGTGAAGAATCACAAAACCCGTGCTTTCCGTTTAAACCGCCTCTGATCCGATCAACCGATCGCGCCAAGGCGCCAACAAGTCGCGCCAAAAGACCCGCTGGAGCGGCCGACGGCTCCAAAGCTGGGCCAAGGGAACGAAGGGAAATGTCCAGATAAGGGTCTAAAGCACAACCAAGAGGTTGAAAAAGGTGCACCACCAAGAGGTTTAACCAATTGCACCTCTTAAGGTTCCCGACAGTATCTAAGAGAAACAGTGGGAGGTGCAACCTAGAGGAAAACCGCAATTTACCAATCATTTACGAGTGAAACCGAAACCTTTGTAAATTCGAGACTTTTCTCTTGCCTGACGCTGGCACAATTCCATCTATAAGGTTATGTGATCGGGCAAGCCGGGCAAGAGAGCCTGTGGCTGGAGCAAATCAAATGCTTCTAAGTTATATATGGAGCCTATGGGCCGACGCACTGCGATGGATATTAAAAGCCCACCTTCAGATTCTGCGAAATTTGTCGCGCAATAATTTCCAGCGAACAAGAGCGGCCGTGCACCTCTTGCACGCTGGTCACCTGGTGCTTTGCCAAGGTGCCAATCTTAAAGCCTTCCTGGGCTGAAGAAGCAGCTTGGATGTTCTATCTTTACCCCTCTCAGGTCTTGTTTTGCCTCAAATCAAACGCGGGGTTTAGTGGAACGTAGGCGTTGAGCCAATAGGACTGTGTTGGGTAAACAATACATCATGTCGACAAAACTGCAACACGTAACATAACCATTTCAAAGGTCGGGGCTTGTCTTGTCTGGTACGTCTGGCGGGTCGCCAACCATAATCTTTTGGCTTGTTAGAGGCTGGAGGGTGTCCATTAATTGTCCCTTTCGCACGTGCTGGGCAAGTCGACCCACACATCATGCACATGACCTCACACTGGGCAAGTCGACAAATGATCTGCTAAGCCCTGGCAAGACCTGGTGAGAAAGGCTTGCTCAGCTGTCAGCACAGAGGTGTGGGATCAGGGGACTCGGAGCTTACGGTAAGAAAACACCGGTAGCCACCCACATGCCGCATGCCAATTGCACTTGGGGCGTCCCCTTCAGGAAGGCCCGCTGTCGAGTGCACTGCTTGGGCAAACGATAGTACATGTTTGAAGTTGGGGCTGGAACAGTGGCCAAGTTGTCGGGAGCTCGGACAGCAGTTACTCTAAAAAGAAAGTGTAGCTCCAAATAGAGAGTGGCGAATGACCATGATATGCGACACATCACACGACTTCTGCTGACTGCACATCACAAGGCTAATGCTACAAACAGCCGAGCCGTGTGGTCTGCAGCATTCTTTGGATATCGTGAGACAGCGTCATAGACTCATAGATCGACTGTATTTTGCGGCAACTTCCACGCCTTCGAAAGCGGATCATTCATTACTGGATTGTTTCCCATCATAGATTTTTGCAACCGTATGAACACCACCTCGTTACACAGCTCTGGAAGAAAACTTACCCCTAGACCAGACATAGTTGTGGGTCTCAGAGACCGTCCCGTGTTGCTTACATATGTGACGTTCCTGGTTGTCCACACCTTCAATGCGCAGCATTGGCAGCTCTAGCATCAACACGACCAACTGAGCAGAATGTAACAAACGATCGTGTAACGACAAGCTGAGAAGGCCTTCAAAGTACTGAAGACAAACAAAAACCAAACAAATTTGTCGTTGCTGAATTTGGCTAGTCCTTAGCTGAATTTGTTGTTGCCAATATTGTGAAGGTTGGCTAGTACTTGATCGCAAACTGAACGATATGAACGAAGACCAAACGACCCGTAGCATGATCATCGATGATTTAACAGAACCAAACTGAAACGCACAACGTGCTAAGCATGATGCAGAAGTCCTACTGTACTAGCGCTGGGGTTTAGTCACCCGGGTTTGCAGAAAGTCACCCGGCCGCATGGAAACGCAGCATTAGTCAAAAGTCACCCGGCTCGCGAAAAGTCACCCGTTTTATGTTAAAACACAATGTAAACGCTCTACGGAAGTATGTTTGTCAAAACTGCTATACATCAAGAATTCACTGCCCCTGTGCAGGAAAGAACTAGTTTTATGTCGAAGTTTGCAGCGTTTTGGTGACCGAACCCCAATCAGAACGCAAGGTTAGGACTATCGTGAAGATTACCCCCTAAACATAGATGCAGCATGCTGCCCTGCTTGCTGTGCTCTTCAAGAGCTGTGCCACGCGAGTCTTTTCGACCCTGTCGCGAGTGCCGCGCGAGTCCCATGCACCCATGTACCCCCGCCCCATGTACTCACGCCCCATGTACCCAATGGTGTTGAATGGTGTTGAACTGACGCTCCAAAGCTTATGCTCCAATGAGGGTGACATCTTGCATCTAACCCCATTGGAAACGCAGCATCCAAACAATGTTGTTGACCTAATGCTCTTCCAGTTATATTGCCATCTTGCATCTAACCCCAATGGAAACGCAACATCCAGACGACTTTCTACAAGACCAGACGACTTAACACAAGTGCTTGTATCAAACAATTCTCACACACTTGACCACGTGGTCACCCATGCCATCACATTGATATTCCCCACCCACCACAACTATTGGGGACAACAGCTCGCTGTGGCGGCCGAAAGCCTAAAACTTGTGCCACAGTGCCAACAGTTAATGCGGGCACACGACGGATTGTGGTAGTTTGGATTGAACTTGCTGTCGGCGATGGTGGTTCTGGCATCCCCTCTTCAACGGCGCATTGCACAAAAGAACCGGCCGGGTAATCGGATGTAAACTCACCAGAGATTGCCATTCTCCCTCCCGCGCTTTCCGACGTGCAAGCCAGCGGAGACAAACACACAAATAACTACGTTCAGTCCAGTCCGCAAACTCAGTCCAGAGTCCAGTCATATACCATTTGTTTCCCAAAGTGCATCAGTCTGTACCGACCGACGTACATTCGGTCGTCTCCAGGATCGTTGACGTCCATGATGACGATCCCGTCGATCCTCGTAACATGTCTTCTTTACCTCTGAGAGCTGAAAGCCTTAAGCCTTCAACATCCTTAAAGCAGTAGTCAAATGTAGTTATACCATGTTATACCCAACATGGAACCTCATGGCGACCAAGGTGATGGCATCGCTTCCGCAAATCAGCCAGCTGCATTAGTTTTCTTTGTTTCGAAGGTTTCATGTGGTGGCTCAATGCCCATCGGCACCAAGAAACCGTTGACCAGATCTGGTAACAAAGATCTGACTCCAACAATCTAGGCCCTAGTATTGCTTGACCTTGGTTGATGGACCGATCGACTTGGTTGAAACGTGCTATCTGTGATTATGTCCACCACTTGGAACTTCGAGCTTTCCAAAGGTGTTCCACAAGGGTGTGGGGTACGAAGAGGGTGAAGAGATGTGAAAGCCTTGAAATGCATAAAACAATCAGTATGATTCAATATGCATGAATATCATGTGTATATATCGTTCAACCTGGAGCCTTGGTTGGGAGTGTCCCTCTTTCAATCACCAATTTTGAGACTCGTCGCCAGACTCGACTCGAGGTCTGCCAGGCGTCCAAGGTCTGCCCCGCCACGCTGAAGGGCGAATGGTGGGAGAGAAAAAGCTCAGTGGCCTGGGAATTCAGCATGTGAAGACATGTGAAGATAAGTGACGTTGGGCCAATCCCACATACGCGGATTAAGGGAAAAGGAAACAACACACATGTGAAAACAAACTGCAGACTCTTACAAACGACATCTGAAGCTTGCAAGATGCTCCTTCACACGCAACGGCCAAACTGGACACAACGCTCCGCACCGACGCGAACCGAAGCGATGACACCCGGCCAGCTCGCTCCTCCTCGCCGATGGCCCGGCGAATGAGAAGACCACCCGGATGGGAGTGAAGAAAGGAGCCGATCGCATAGACCTTTCGCCCAGAAGCGACCGGTTCCGGTGGCTTTACACGGAACCTGCCGAAACGGGAGACGGGATCGGGTCAAAACCTGGACCCTGGTTTTTGCAGGTAGGTCAAGCAAGGCCTCCTGCTTTTGACCCACAGCCACATTGATACACTATCACTATACATGTACAATGCACTCCTCCACTTTTGGGGCCTTGAAACGATTTCACACGCATGATAAGCATCCAAGGGGTGTTCATCTAAGCATGCCACGCATCATCTAAGGATGCCCGCCTACATCGGGTCATGGGGTACATTGGTCCTTTGGTCCTAGGCACCGAGTCCGAACCCGATGCCAGTGTTCATAAGGCAAAGGCAAACCATGTCACACTCACACTATCCCTATATGGATCCACATACCTTCTCAGAAAGCAATTGGACCCTCAAAGCCTGCATAAATAGTCTCCAATTACCTTCTGAGAAGGTATGTGGATCCATAGGGTATATAAAGATCCGACTTGAGAATCTCAAATCGAACGGACCCTGTGCCCAAAATGACCCATACGTACGTTGCGACAAGAGCATTGACCTGCCTTGGAAGGCTCAGAGCCAAGTTTCAGACCCCTTTCATGACCCAAACGATTCATGTATGCCCTATTTACCTACCTGGTGGTTTCAGGGGTCAATGTAATTAGGCTTAGAACACAACTTTTAAACTGTTTGATGGTCAATGAGGGTGTCTAGGGCTTGTTCCTACCCTGCTTCTGGAAGGCTCGGCGTAGTGCGTCGCACGCGGAACAACGTGGAAGCTCCGCGACTGATATATTAAGCTCATGGCTGTCGCACCGACCAATTTACTAGTAGTGAGACATGTTGTTAACCTCACGTCTTGTGCAAACATCCGCCACATGGTGACCCTGGTACACTCCACACAATGGCTTGAGCACATGTCCATCCACGTTGAATTTCAACTTCCTAGGCTACTTAGGGTATCCAACTACATCCTCAAAATGTATGCAAACTCTCCGAACGCGACCCTCACCATGTACCTTCTCACTGTGCTACATGGAGCTACATGGAGCTCCCGTTCCGCTCGCTTGCTCGCTCCCACGGCGCTGAAACACCGGTGCCTGACCGCCGATGATCGTCCAGGGGAAGGGCTTTTCATAAAGCTCTGCTTTGGTGAACTCTGGCAGCGACGCCATGGAGCTGAGCGGACGTCATTGGAATGAGATGTGGCGAGCAAAGACTGAGTCAAAGAACATGTGCCAAAGACGACATGTCTTACTAAAAATGGAAAGCCAACCACCATGCAATTGGGGCTTTGGTCGCTTTCACGACATTTTGATGCCCCCTTCCGCTCAGCTGAAAGGTGACTGAGAGAGCCTCTTGTTTAAAGAAGGAACACGTCACTGTAGGAGAATAGTGGCTCTCATTCGGATGTGTTCATTCGGATGTTCCCATTCGGATGGTCCCTAAAGTGCTGAGTCAGCCTCTTTGAGGTCTCCCAAGTAATGCACCGAAAACACCTAGGTCTGGGCTCTCTGGTCATCAAACGGACCATTGACAGTGCTGTCACCCCAATAATAAGACGGTGTCAGATTATGTCAGATTTGCTGAAGCAACGTATGGAAGCGCTCGTGCTGTTGGTGCTGTTGAGCTCAATGGCATGTTCACTATCAGCTTGAAGGACAGCAGCTTTGCTTGTGAGGCGAATCCTTCACGACAGACCTCCAAGATCCTAAGATCCTCTCCAAAGCTTCCAAATTCAGGTGCTGCTCAAATGTCTGATCCTCAAATGATCTTCAATTCGAGACTCCAGAGTACTCATGCGTGTATTTGTTAAGTTATATGTCTTGCTGGGAAAGGTATTAAAGAATCCCCCTCTTCGATGTTCACTGATGGCCTCTGATGGCCTCAAATCATCTGCATGGTGAGACAGGTTTTTCCCCACCACCAGCGCCTTGTCCATTGAACGACCCATGTTTCTATGGTCAGAACAAGAAGACCCATGACATCCCACGACAAGAAGACCTATGACAGAATTAATAGAGCCTGTGATATCATGGGGCGGGTCTTGGAACTATTTGGCTAAATCTATGTTGTCCCGTGAAGCCGTGAATTGGACTCGGTTGGACTGTCACATCTGGTGATTTCTCCTCAAGAAATGTCTGTTGTTGGTAAGTAGTATTGCGTCCTGGACACCATCTCCAAGCAAATTGTAGTGCTGATGTGCTCCATTGGTTCTTTCAAGCCGCATTCATGCAATACGAATCAACACGAATGGCCAGGGCTGTGCATGGCTTGGTAACGGGTATGTGGGAATCGTCCGTTCTGAGGAGGGTATGCCGGGCCGGGAAAAAAAAACATCCAAACTTCAACGAACACCAAAAGAATCAAGAGAACAAGAGAACAAAAACAACAACAACAACAACAACAACAACAACAGCAACAACAACAACAACAACAACAAAAGCAACAAGAACAAGAACAAGAACAACAACAAGAACAACAACAACAACAAGAACAAGAACAAGAACAGGATTCTGCACATGTTCTCCGTCACCCAACACTCCATACATGTTCTTTTCAGTGAAACCTCCACAAAGCATGCGGCTCCCGGGGGGGTCTTCGGCGTACCCTCTGTGAAGCCGGAGCACCTGAGCCGTTTCACGCCGTTTGTGGTTTCCACAGCACAGGGCACAGGGAGGTTGAGATACACCCCAACCTTAGTAGAACTCTAGCTTCCGTGGTAATTTGTTTGATGTTCTCCAGGGAAGGGATGCTTCAATGTTTTACTCAGATTTACTAAGTATATCTAATTATGGTATGCTTCGGAGGTATGCTGAAGGGGGTATACTTCAGGGTATGCTTCGCGGTGTGTGAAGACTATAAATTTTAAAGTAGTAGCATGTTCCAAGGGTAGGCTTCGGGATATGCTTCGCCTAAATCGAGCATCCCAGCCCTACATAAACTGGACACGTATAGTCTACGTAGTAATTAGAACACTTACTAAAAAAGAAGGAACACTTTTTGGTAGGTTGAGTTGATCCATGTTGATCCCGTTCATGAGGAATGTATTCGATCGGTTTCCTCTGCCTTCACCAGATTTACGACCATAAATCCAACCCTCCGCTTTTGGAGAACCCTTCTTTTCAGATCCCTTGACCCCTTGATGAAAAACCACCCCTTGAAAGCAACTCATGAACCAACCTTTTGCAGCTCATGGACCATCCTGGGCATCCCCTTGTTCATCTCTTTTCTGTCTATACTTTTGTATAGTCACGATCTTCCCAGAACATGTGACGTTACAACAAACGTGCGCAAAATAAACTTCATCATCCTCCATATAGTCTCAGTTCATCGTTTGAGACTGTTCCTTTCGCTTCACTGTCGTTGGGCGCCCCCACATGGCACGGATGGCGCGCTGCGCCCAGGGGTTCTGAGGCCTCGCAGGGGTTCACGCGCGATCCCAAAGACTCCTTCAAAGAGCCGAAAGGCACATGGTGGTCATGGCACCCGGGGACCCTGGTTATCACATTGGTTGAATGAACAGAAGAGACGACCTAGCAGGGTGGCCTGGTCAACCTCCAGGTTTTGACCCACAAGCAATGATCATCCCATGGTTTGAGTGTCAAGGGAATGGGTTGATCATGGTCCCATGGTTTGAGCCCAATATGTAGACTCATCATTCATAACCCGCCATTTTGAATGGTAAACCCATGTAAACATATGTAAAACCTCTTCATAGGGTTTTTTACTAGTCAACTGTCTACATAAATATGGAATTATCATGAACTATCATCCAATTACGGTAGACAGTAGAACAATATCCACAAAACAAATTACGCAATTCTCACCCCGAATTGTCCAGACCAGCACAAATGACCCTCGCATCGACCCCCCAAGAAAAACAAAAAAGGCTTCTTGGAGACCACGAGGATGTCCTCCCGCGGTGTGTCACGTTTTTGGCGCAGCCAAGGTGCTGAAAGCTGGGATCGTAGCTCCAAAACTCAGAGGGTGGTCCCACCAACTGGCGGCGCAACGGGTCTGAAGGGATGGTGTGACTGTGTGACAGATGGAGCGGACAGAGGTTTTGGTTTGGGGCTCGGTTTGCGTGGAAGTACCAGGGAGGCAGTACAATGATGAGGATGAGGAGGTGACTGGGACTCTCTGGTGATCTGGGCAGCAAACATTGCGTTTTAATCAGAAGCCTCATCTGGCCGTGCAAAGGTTTGGTGTCACTTGGCTCGAGAACTGAGGAAGGTCTGTGAATGTGTAATTCTTTGAGCGGTGAGACCCCGCAAGACGCCCTTGGGAGCTCTGGCCTAATACACCTTTTTGGCAGGATTGAGGAATTGCTGGGCCCCCTTCCTGAATGTCCCTTCTCTCCTGATTCCAAAAAGACATGCCCAACATATACCCGGGATGCTCACCCGGCAGCGGGTCAAGGTCCACAGCCTGGAAGGAAAGACCAACCCGGCAGTAATTATCAATATTATGGCGCCGGCACGTACCCACAAGTGAGTTTTCTTCAGTGAAGAATAGAGAGACCTCCCAGGCAACGACCCCCTGGAAGAAGGGACATTGACACAAACTCAATTGGTTTGGGGCTTCCTCCTTTTGACATACGCACCCGACGCACCAAAGGGCGCCAACCCACCAGCTCAGGTGCGCAAGGGGTGATCAGTCCCAGCTTCGGTGCCCTTCGACCTGACCTCCTGGTCTTCCAAGTGACCCTTTGAGATCCCGGGGTCACGGAAAAGCCTCTGAAGGGTCAAAGGGCTAGCCTCCAAAAGCCAACTTTGAAAAAGCTTTAGCTGTTTGTTTTGACAGCTGCTTGTTAACCAATCCCGAGCCATCTCAGTTTGTTTTGAGTAGCCAATCCCCGCAGCCAAGATTCAGCAGGTTCTTCTCACTTCTGGGAGAGCCAACCAAAACGGTCGCTCGAACGCTCGCCGGGTCCACAGGAGTATATCGCGCACTGCGGATGCCCCAAAGCACCTGAGACGAGCGTCTCGCTGGAACCAAGAAATTGATGACCGAGTCATACGCATCTCCATGCATGGGATATGATGGGATCGATATGTACATTCCTTTTCCAGTTCCAAGACCTAAAATATTGGGAATATATTGGGATATCTGGGAGTCGTTCATCCTGGAAAAGGGCACAAGGTGATGTTTAAGTGTATATTATGTTTATGTTTAAATATGGACTCTCTGAAATCGACCCTGAAACCCAGGACCGAGGTCTGATATCAGGGCTGTATGGATCGAAGGTGGCACAGGGATCGAAGGTGGCACAGCGCCGGTGTCTTTTCATTCCGTCGCGTCATAGGCAGCCCCTCACGGATGTGGAGCCTGCCAAAGGGTGGCCAGGATAGTCAGCTTCGAAAATTTGTTTGTGTTGTGTGCTGGGGCAGTGGGGACCAAGGTGCCAAGGGGCACGGGAAGTATCAGAATTTATCCTGACTGGCTGCCATCGAAAAGCACTTTTGACTGGAAAACAGGTCTCCACTGCCCCACGACATCCACATCATCCACATGTTCCACCTGGTCCTCGTGGACTCCAGCTTCCCATGTGTGTCAATAGGTGTTAGGGTTTACCAAGGTTTACCCTTAGTGGAATGCCTCCACCGTCCGTTTTGCTGTGGAATTGACCCCATCCGGCCGAGACCATCCGGCCGAACGCTCGCCCCTTTGCGAAGCGCACGGACACGTCCACGGGATTGGGCACGGTCTGCTGGACCAAGACTCCTCACACCGTGCCCACGGTGCCAATGGTAGATGTCCAACCAAAAGAGGAGAACAAACTGGCTGGTATATGGGTCTGGTAGTATGTATCATAATGTTTACAGTTTTTTGAGAGATGGGTAATATCATATTGTATCTTCCAATGGGAAAGTAAGAAGAGGGTCCAAGCATCACTATAGATACTATAGGTACTGCAGATGAAACGCTATCACTAGCTCAATATAGTATCACTAGCTCAATTATTATCTAGCACCCCCACTTCTTAAATGCAAAAACGTGTACTCCCTCTGTATATCATCAGACTAGCTGCTAGCTGTTCCTCAAACGACCCCAACGACTTCTGCGATGGGCGACCTCGATGACTCCGAACGAGGCAAATTAAGTTGTGTCCCGCAAGATGGGGATGAACATGTGCAGAACTTGTGCAAAATGAGAAGGACTCGTAAGAAACCGTTATCCTCAGAAAATCCTTCGGACATCGTCATGCTCCACACCTGGCCCATTCCCACT